ACAACTTGCTTTTTATTACAAAAAGAAACATGTACTATATAGCCAAGAAATTCTACTCTAGAGTATTCACTCAGATGAAATGAAAGCTCCTTTTCAGCCAGATTCAACCAGAAAACATTTGCTAAATGTGTGGCTTGATGAATGCAAAAATGAATGGATCTACAAAAACACAGAATGACTAAAAAGGGGCTGTGTTAGTCAGCTTTCCATTGCTGTCACAGAAATTTCTAAAAGAACCAATTAAGTGAAATGCTTTGTTTGGACTGGTTTGTGCAGTGTCCAGATTAAGTGAAATGCATTGTTTGGACTGGTTTGTGCAGTGTCCAGGCCATGGTAGGTGGCCACGTTGTCTTGGAGCCCATGAATATCATAGAGAGGCAGAATATCATAGAGAGGTGCCTGCAAATGAGACTGGCTTCTTCCTCATGGTGGCCATGAGGCAAAGAATGAGAAAAGGAAAGAGGTGTCCATATTCCCTTTAGGGGCATGCCCCAGCGGTCCAATTTCCTCCCTTAAGGCCTACTTCCTAATGGTTCCCACAGCTCCTGACAGCACCACAGCCTGCCAGGCAACCCTTTAACACATGGGATTTGGGGAATATTTAAGATTCAAGCTATAACAATGTTTCCAACAAAAATTTCTAAGCAAAACCCAACAATATAAACCAATTTAGGAAGAAGGAAGTAACCACCACAATGACTAGTTAAGAGTTAAAAGAGATCAGCTCCCTCAGGGGCAGGATTGATATGTGGGAACCATTAGAAAGGACTGTTGTTTTTCATTATCAAACCTTCCAGGACTATTGGTTTTTTAACTATGTAAATATATTCCTTTCATAAAAATTTTAAAAGTAAAGTCATGCTGTGTGATTCTATTTCTATGGAGCACTAGAACTGGCTAAACTAATCTATGGTTATGTGCTGCCTACTCTCAAATGACTCAGAAAAATTTTCTGTATACCCAGAGGAAGCAAGTGCCAAATTAAATGAGTTAAATGGTAAAGAGAGGTGAACCTGGATGAAGCCCAGCTGTAGAGTCGTCATAGTGTTACTTTGCTTGCACATATTTGATCAGATTGAAAACAATTTCCGAATAAAAACTACTAAAATAAGCAGACTATGGTAGAAACAATTAAAAAATGGTTACCTATGGGGTGGTAATTGACTAGAAAGGAGGATGAGAACATTTCTGAGATACTGACAGTGTTCTGAATCTTGATAAGGGTTATGTGGTATGTGCATTTATAAAACCCCATGAAGGGTAAGGTTTATGTTCATGGATCTCACTATATACAAAATTTACTCCAATAAAAATAAACAAATACTGAGCATAACAACATTCATGGTAAAGGTTTCATGGGTAAAATTACAGATATTTTCAGCTTTCATATTCCTAAGAAATACTTAAGATGAACAAATGGATGGAAACAGCATGATACAAAGGGCAGATGTGCCAAGAAAATAAAAACAGAAAAAATGTTTGTTGTAAAGTCACTGGACTGCTCACTGTAAATTTCTTTTAATTTTGCTATATAATTGAAGTTTTATAATAAAATATTAGGAAAGAAGAAAAGAAATATAAAACAGTAGCAAGGGAGATTAAGATTTAAAAGTTTATGCTAATGGAACAAGCCTTTGAAAAGACTTCAAAGTACTGATAAGAAGAATGTTAAGAGGTAAAGAGATTGATCCACAATGACCCATATTGGAAGTAGCAGGGAAAGTCCGAGAACGTAGACCTGTATAACATGAAGCATGTAAAAAGTTTCTTGAGAGCAGTCCCCAGACTGCCACATGACCAACCGTCCTTTGTTCAGCCAGCAATGTGCACGGGTAGTCAGCTTTGCATAAGAATAGAGGGGCCCACATTTCCTTCAGTTTTGATCAAATTTCTACTCAAAGAGTTTTGCAAAGATCAAGATCTGGTCTTCATTTGTCAACTGAGGATTTTAAATTTCCCTCAGGACAGCTTGGAGCATGAAAGTTTCATTTCAGCCTGCCATATGCCTAAGGGGCCCCGATCTCTCATCTTTGTTGACTCAGATACAAATATTATGGTTAAGTAAACCCCCTGGAGAGAACTCCCCTTGCCTGCATCAATCTTGCTGGATCAGACTGCACATTGGAAAACACAAATAACCTAATGTCCATCACCAGGAGAAGAAATGAGGAAACTGTGGTGCAATCATATAAGAAATTATTTGGATGATTAAAATTAATGCATTATATGACTAGCATAGAAATGAATAAACTTCAGAGGCATAATGCTCAACAAAGCAAGTTGAAAATTACAGAAAACAACACTATGCATTGTTTGAGGATGTAAAAATGCATAAAATGGTCAAATAAAATACCTGTTCCCTCTTAGGAGAGAAGGGTTTTTTATATTAGTGTTCTTTCCAGAGGAATAGAATAAATAGGATAAGTAGACAGACAGACAACTTATTAGAATGGCTTACAGGCTGTGGTCCAGCTAGTCCAACAGTGGTTTTCCACCAATGGAAGATACAAGAAGCCAGTGGTTGTTTAGTCCATAATATGGGATGCCTCAGCTGGTCTTCAGTATATGCTGGGATCTCAAAGAAGTGGGCTGTAATATCAGTGAAGGAATGGCCTTGCTGTCAAGAGCAAGAGAAAGCTGGTAAAGAGAGCAAGCCTCCTTCTTCCATGTCCTTTACAGAGGCTGCCAGCAGAAGGTGTGGCTCAGATTAAAGGTGGATCTTCTCACCCCAAAAGATCTGGATTAGAAATGGGCCTATTAGAAATGCGCACAGGTATGCCCAGCTGCTTCAGTTTTAGTTAATTCCAGATGTGACTGTCACAATCAGGGTTATATGGGCAGCTTCTGTGCCTTATTGTTTTAGAGCTGAGACTAGATAGGTTTCCTTTCCCATCACTGTAGGTGAGACAAGTCAGAATCACTCTCCTCCCAAAGAAAACAACAGAGAAAGAGAACTATTTAAAAGGACACATTCCCATAATTATCGATGAAGCAATTGAAAGAGTATAGAATTATCACACTTAGAAGTATAGATCAGGAAACACAGAGAGGGCTTGGGCTCCCCATCTTCTCATTCTGATTTTAAAGTGGAGCAGATGTAGATGTATTAGGGAACAGTGAGAACAAACTTCTGAGAGGAGGAGGGGCTCCAGGAAAGGGATGGCCTTGGTCCAGTTCTGTAATTGAGGCTTCAGAACAGCTTTCTGACAGTGCCAGAGGGACACTGGTTGGGAGACCTGTATGCTGTCATCATGTAGGACACCTCAAAGGACTAAATGCTGATCAGCATCTGCATATGGAGAAAAGAAATCATACTTAACATGGATTTAATCCCTCCTTTGGTTCATCTGAATGGTCCAGAACATCTCAAGCCCTGACATTGGAGTGAGGCAATACCAAGTAACTAACCTGAAGTTGAGGAGCTATTGAATTAATGAATCCCATAAGAGCTCTTAACCTCCAATCTCAAGCTACTTTTAGTTGGATGTTCAGCTATTTGAAACCAGAGGTATCCTAACAGAAATAATGAGTGATAGTTGACATGGTCTCTTCTCCACAGAGTTCACAGGTAAGAAACTAAAGGAGTCATTGTGTTAATGTTCTGGGTCTTATTTATTTACTTTTTAGCATGTCCATTTTTACCGTTTATTAAACAGTGGATTCCTTTTTCATATAATATAATCTCTGAATATTTTCCTCTC